CTGGTAAAGCAACAAACAGGCGGCACTGTTCTTCCTCTCTTTTCCCAATGCCCATTTTTCCTTTTCTTTTTTTTTCAGTTTGTGTCTCTTCCACATGACCAGCTGCCCACGATGAAAGTCCCTGTCGTCTCCACGTTTAAAAACCCTCACTCATGTCGACACTGCTCCGGGATCCACCTCGACCTGGACGTCAGACGCCCAAAGCTGCCGTGTTTCTGGTGTGATTTTGATGGTGTGCCCAAGGAGACAAGTCACGGGAAATATATCTGTGAACAATGCACGCGGGAGTTTTTTATCCGTGACAACACTGAGCATCACTTTACGCTGAAACTGGGTTATGATGTTGAGGGGATTAGGGATGCTGCCGAGGAGGGATGTGAGTTGTACAGTTGGGTGTGGCGGGGGATTTCCCGGGAGGATAGTTTGAAAAAAGGGAAATACCGGGTTGAGCTGTATGGATGGAAGACGAGAGGGGGAAGAGATGGGTTGGGTCTGATGGTGAGGGTTTTTGATGGGGTTACTGGGGAGAGGGTGCCGGTTTTGGTAGCGAATGGGGTGGGGGAGTTGGATGTTTATGCCTTTGAGGGGGATGCTGCGGGGGTGTATACGAGTTGTAGACCGTATGTGAGGGATGTGAGGTCGGAGGAGTCGATGGGGTTTGCGAGGGGGTGTTTGAGGGGGTGTTTGGAAGGGCATACGTGGTGTAGGACGGATCAGATTATTGAGATTGATATGGCGAGACGACCGGTGGGGGTTTTAGGGGGGGAGAGGGTGGAGTATGGGGATATTCCGAGTCGGGTTTTGGATTTGGGGAGGTTGGATGAGCCAAGGCTTAGACTGGTTGAGACATGGGAGGAAGGGGAGGAGCTGCTGGGACGGATTTCGAGGGGTGGGTTTGTGGCTTTGTCGTATTGTTGGGGAGGTGATCAGAGAGCTAAGCTCCTGTCGGAGAACCTTGATGCTTACAAGAGGTCTATCGACCCTTTGAGTTTGGACCAAACGCTTCAGGATGCGATCTGGGTTGCTCGTCAAGTTGGGTTTCAATACCTCTGGATCGACGCGCTCTGTATCATTCAGGACAACCTTGACGGCTTCGGCACAAACCCGGACAAGGCATTCGAGATCACGCGTATGGCGTCGTATTATGGACGGGCTACTCTCACCATATTGGCTGCCTCCGCTTCCGCAGCAGCAGAAGGTTTTCTTGCCCCGCGAGCATTTTCTCCTTTCCGAACTGGACCGGTTTGTGTTCTCCTTAGAAACCACGACACAAAAGATATCATTGGCACGGTTTACCTCGTGGAGGAACATCCTTCTACACCAGCGGAACCCATCACTACTAGGGGGTGGACCCTTCAAGAGTCATTGCTCTCGAGGCGGATTCTGGTGTTTGCGCAGCGGCAGTTGTACTGGTCCTGCGTCAACTCATTTGCCGGGGCGGGGGGGGATGTAACCGTGTTAACAGACAGGATGATACCGGGGCGAAGGTCTCTCGTGGAGGGGGTATACCCTGTTGGGTCACTGATTGATACGAGCACCACTGCCCAGTGGGGGGTCATCGTCGAGCAGTACACCCGGCGCTTTCTTGGACAGGAAGGAGATAAGCTTTGGGCGGTTGGTGCGTTGGCGGAGCAGATTGTCAAGGTGGGGAGGGCGAGGGGAGAGAAGAAGAGGTATGTGGCTGGTTTGCTTATCGATGAGGAAGACAAAAAGAGCTGGTTGTCGGCGTTGATGTGGAGGCCGGTTGATCCAGGGAGGAAAAGGCCGAGGAGGTACCGGGCGCCGACGTGGTCGTGGGCTGGTGTGAACGGCGAGGTGAGGGTGGGGAGACTGCAGAATGAAGAGCCGGCAGTGGTGGAGGACTGGGGGGTGGAGTTTGCAGCTAAAGGGGCCGAGTATGGCGCTTTGAAACCGGGGGCATGGCTCCAATTGAGGGGGAAGGTGATGACGGCTGAGGAAGTGGGTAGGTATTGGCGGGTTGTTTGGGTCAAGAGTGACAACT